CAGGGCTGAGCAAAGCTCCAGGCATCCCATCTGTCACTAACATCGTACAAGGGAGCAGAGGGGCAATGAAGAAGATGGGTAGGGGGGCAAACAAAAGCCCTCCCTTCCCAGCTGAGGGAGGCCACAGCCATCCCTGTGGCACTGCAGRGGTGATGGCAGCACACTCAGGCAAGACAGGAGAGACCCCAGCATGCACTGTCTGCTGTAACCCAGTTCTCTCTGATGGCTGATGCTTCCCTCTAAGCCTTGGCCAAGCTGAGTGCTCCTGTGAAACCATCCTCAGGGAATGGGACAGACCTGGAGAAATCCCGGTGCTGCAGTGCACAGCCAGAGCAGACACCAGCAGCAATTCCCTGAAAGGCAGAGGAATAGAAACACCTAATGGTGAGAACAGTTCTGCCATCCCACAGCTGCATTTGGGAACAATCAGTCAGGTGCCGACAGGAAATGTTTACAAAATTATAAATGCTAAGTTACTTGTTCTTCTGAATTTTTGACCGTTGAGGATTTTGCTTTTGTGCTTTTCTCCTGAAGCGTTGGAAAGCGAAGCATAGTTTTTTTTCTTTTTTTATTGCAACCAAAGCCCAGGACTCTTTTCTTCCTGCTTGATTCTACAACAGGAGCTTCAAAAMCCCAAAGAATATGGGGAAACCCAGAAATTATCTGCTCTGGCTGCAGGAGTGCCAGATGCCCTTGGCAGTGCTGTCTGGCCCCTGCCCACGGGTAGGTTCTGCCACGTGGCCTCTTCCCTGCCCTGTGAATCCAGATTTTCAACCCAAGGATGCAATTCCTTTTTTTATGAGCTGCCTGTCTCTTTTTGTTTAGCTGGGAGTGCTTGAAGCCCTTCCCCCACCTCCTTTTCCACCGCTGCTGCTGGTTTTATTCAATTCAACACTTGAGGGAACTGCAGATGAAATGTCTCTGAATCTAAATTGCCAGCGATAGATCTAACAGCCTTTTCCCCTCTCCCCTCCCTGAACTCCCTCAGACAGAATGCTCCAGCACATTGTCTGTGCTGCCCGTGGCTGCAGCTGCAGGATGGGAGCACGCAGAGATGTGGGGTGCAGAGGGGGGTGAAGGGACAGCAGATTGGAGAACACCCCAGAACTGCTCATGTCTGTGTGCCCAAGCACTGCCCTGCTTATTGTGGAGCTTGTGCTGCCAGCTGGGCAAGTGCTGCACGAAAGGCTAGACTTCTTCTTTGCATAGGGAAAACCCTTGGCCTTAGAGCAGAGAAAAGTGGTCAAAAGGAAAAATAAGGCAAAGAGAAAGGAAGAGTCAAAGCTGGGAGACAGAGAGGAACTGAGAGCCTGAAGGAGTCTGTACATGGGGAAAAGGCTCTTGAGCTGTCTTGTGGAGCAGCCCCCTTCACAGAGCTGGGACTCTGGCATTGTCTTTATGCTGGGGAAATGAAATTATTTTTACCCTTTGGCTGCAGRGAAAAATAATAAAATATTGTCAGAATATTACTGAAACAATAAATATTTTTTTCTGACTGTAAAGACAGAAAGTGAAGCATTTAAGTGTATGAGGAATGAAATACTTCACTGGACCRTAAAGCCTGGTAATACTGAAACCTAGAGACAACTG